ACCTGTTAAGTTTGTTTTCTTTTCAGGCACGATATTGTATGTACGGTTCATTTGAGGCTGGTGCAACCAGACGAGCCGAACAGGTATTGTTCTCCGAGTGAGACGTATTGAGAATTCCATAATTCTCTTACATCCTTTCTGCATTGTGGTATAGTTCGATGTGTGCTAGCTTAAAACGGTCGTATGTTTGCTTCGTTACAGCTTTTCTTAGCATGATCGTAAGTTATGCTCGGCTCCGTGCATTGTCTTGCATTTTGCCCCTGCCTCCGGGCGCATATCTTATTTGTCTTGCATGTTTGTCTGAGTCTTCGGCCTTGTCAAAAATGGGTCGTCTCTGGGCTTTGACATTCACTCCCGTCATTGTTATGACTTTCGAGTTCTGTCAAAGAGGGGCAACTGTAGACACCCCATTTTTGACCGTCCTCAAGACTTGGACGTCACCGTTTGAACACTCGGTGATCATCCATGATTGTGTTCGTTTGGAGTTCCCGGAGGTCTCGGCTCGCGCGCCCTACCTCAGGATCTCCGAACTTGACCGTGTGGTGTCCGGTTTTGCACCAAACACTTTTGTTTTGCCTTAGAAGGGCAGGGAATGTCTTGTGAGACACCCCCATACACCACCGGCAGTGGCTGGAGGCCACCGGCCGATCTTTTTCTTCCATCGGCACTTTTGTTTGCCGGTCGGCACACTTTATTGCCGGTCGGCATAATATGATGCCGGTCGGCACTTTTTTTGCCAAAATAGCTTTTTTGGGCAGCCGACCACTGTTCCTCCACTTTATGGAGATATTTTGTGCCAGCTGTGATAGCTGGCACCAACTCCTTTCCCCTCCATACACGTGTATGGAGGGATTTCCCTCTAGCCAAGCTTGTTGTATAAGCTTTGCAAGAGGGATCCTTATAAAAGAGGGTCCTCCCTCTTGGTTCTAGGTTAGACTCTTAGAAGCAAAAACCAGCCCTTAACAATATAGATACACTCTATCTCTATATCTCCCTCTTCCCCCTCCTTTGTGTGTGTTTCTTGGCCCAAAAGGTGTGTTTTACCTTACTTTTGCACCAATACACACACTATTACACCTTTTTTGATCCAAAGAAGGAGGTTAGGCCATTTGTTCTTCAAGGGTTCTTCAAGGGTGAGCATCTTCCCTTTTATTCCCCAAACTTGCTTTGGTTTTCTACCTATTTTGTTTATTGTTTTGGCTCTTGTGTATAACATAAAAAAGGTTCATATTTTCCTGCTCTAACACTTTCATTGAGGTCTCTTTGTGGTTAGATCGCAAACTCACCCTCATAGGCCTTGTTTGGCCTATTTTGGTACCCTTTTGATAAGGTTTTGTTCACTTCAGCATTTTGATCTTTTGATCACCAAAAATCAGTGTTTTTTTTAGTGTCAAAAAAGTTGGTTTGAAGTCTTGCATAGGGGAGGGACACCCCTCTCCCTTTATGGTTTTGTTTCCTTGCTTTTTGGGCTCAAAAGGATAGCATGTGTACTTGTTGTTTCTTGGCTTCATTTCAGTACTTTTTTAGGCATCTTAGGTCTTACATAATCTCTGTTTTTGGTCGGATTTGGGCCCTCTTGTATGCTTGTGATATTTGCTTTGTATTGCTCCATTTTGCTTAAAAGTACACCCCATGATTAGGCCATGATTTTTGTGTGTGTTGGCTTGGTTCTATGGAGCATTTAGCATTGTTTTTCCATGTTTAAAATCTGTTGGTTATCAACTTGGTCATGTTTAGCATGTTTGTTAGAGTTGCTTTGTATTTTGGCTTGGAAGCCTTGAGCATTTTGACCTCTAGCATGCATGGTTGTGTTTACCCTCTTGATTTGGCATCATCAAGGGTCATATTTTAGTCCAAGAATCATGCTTGTATGTGTGCATGCATGGCCTCTTTCATGCCTTGAAGATGTGTCCTCTTGTGCCTAAGAATGAGCCTTAGTTTGTTTGCTTCATGGGGGATATCTTAGTTGCCATATTAGGAGCTTCTTGGGGTCCTATCTTGCATGCATAAATTCCTTTTTTTTTTGCTTGTTTTGATCATGCCATGAGTGGTCGTGGTAATAGGGGTGAGTTGTCTCCTCTTTGTGTCTTAACTTTGAGACCATGAATTTGCTTGATAACATGAGTTGATTGCCTACCATTTTAAGCACCTTTTGGTCACTGTTTTGAAGAGGGTAAGGGTCTGTCCCTTTGCAATTTTTTAAGCCCTCTTGTATGCTTGCTCCATGTTTGTTGGATAGTTGTTCCATTAAGCTTTGTAGCACATCAATTCCATGATCAATTTGCTTCATGCTTGCATCATGTTTGTATCTTGTGTGCTTAGTATCATACATTTTGTCATCATAGTTGCATATTGTTAGTTGTGCTTCATATCTTGGTGGCATGATGTATTTGAACCTTGTTGAAGCATTACATGCATTGCATTTACTTGGTTTGGGGTGTCAAACCAAGTGCGGGAGTCAAGGACCATTCATACTTCAAGTGATTTTATCTCTAAACTAACCCGGTCATCGGGACCTTTGACTCCAATTTGATAAGGCCCCGGTATTCATACTTCAAGTGATGCAACGCGCCTTGGTTCCCGGTCATCGGGACCTTTGACTCTAACTTGATAAGGCCTCGGTTTTCATGTTGTTTGTTGCATGCATTTTCATATCAAATGGCAAATTCGATCCTTTGACTCATCATGTACCATTGATGATTCAAGGATCGAAAGTCATGCTTCTTTGAGTCCAAAATATGATAAGAAGTCGGACCATGCTTACATGTGTCCAAGAACCCCATGCCATGCACTGTCTGTTCTCTGTTTGCTGTCAAATTGTCTATTGCAGGAAGTTTCTGCCGACCGGCAGAATTTAGTGCCGACTAAAAATCAGTGGAGTGCCGATGAATCTGGTAAAGTGCCGACGGGAATTTTGGAGTGCCGGTGGCAATTCTGTCTGGCCGGTGGTGCTCTGCAGGATGCAGAGAGCTTGCTCCAGCACTTTGGTAATTTTCAGAAAGACAAGGCAGTACAAACAGAGGCGACAAGAGTATAGTACGGGTTTTCCGGGCAGGACGGATTCGAGCATGCATCATCTGCGCGCCCCGAGGCAGAGGCCGTGGCCACCCTCTTCATTCTTTTGCTTCCTTTTTTTTTAATTAATTAGAAAATTTTGTAATAATTTTATTTGTTCATTATTTTGGGACTGTAATATTAATTCGAACCCTCTGAGTGAGGGTAAACATGTAATAAGTGTGGGTGAGTGCGTGTATGTCTTCCAATCCCCATTTCTTTCTTCCCTTTTATTTACCAGCTTATGATGGTAGATTAGGGCATTTTTGAAATTAGCATACCTTATGATATGCATGCGTGCATTCATGCATCTGTTAAAACATGCACCGGGCTCGGTACATCATACTAACCGCATTCGTATTTTCAAATTCCAAAATTGAATACATGAATCAATTGGTTGCCTATCGTATGTCATATTTAGGTTAACCGAGCCTAACTAAAATTGCATCTTGTATGTGTTGCATTAGGCAAAATAATATGAACTAGGACACGCACATTTGCTAACTAGTTTATTGTTTTGGCACGGAGTACAATGTAAGTGGTTATGCTTTAGCATCCAAACATGCGTGTGAATGTTGCCATGAGAGTATGCCTGCCATGCGGCTAAGTGCTTACATGAGATAAATTGCTTGAATGCCTGTGGGTGGAGGTCAAATTGTTTAAATTGGGATAATGCGTTAAAACTGCGATTTTTAAGCCCACTAGATAGTGGCAAAACCATCTTTTCCAAAAAACCCACTTGAGGGCGGTAAAATCTGCATTTTAGCCTACTTGCGAGTAGCAAACCATTTTCAAAACAAACATGAAATGTTTTGTTCCAATTTGGGCAATTTGGTCTATACTTGTTTGCCACGTGCATAACATAGTAATGCTAGGCTAATAATTGGTTTAAGAACACATAACGTTTTCAAAACTGAATATCACGGTTAGTAGAGGCCGGTCTTCGGACCGGGCGAAAGGGGGTGCTCATAGCTGACCTTCCCCGATCGTACCCAAGCTCCTGAGCCGAGACAACTCCGGTGATGACGGACATGTGGCCTTCGGCACCGAGTCAGGGTTTCCTAAATTCCCCCATTTTAAAATATTTAGGTGGCGACTCTGTATCTGGCAAAGCAGTCCATGTTTGGCACTACTTTTTCAAAAAATCTGTTTTCTCAAACGATTTGCCAGATTTGGACTCTTTGGTTCAGATTAAGAACCGTGACATAAATCGAGTCCGAACTGTAGTAGCGAGGCCCCCCCGCGGGCGCTGTTACAGTGGCGACTCTGTATCTGGCAAAGTAGTCCATGTTTGGCACTTCTTTCAAAAATCTGTTTTCTCAAAACGATTTGCCGGATTTGGACTCTTTGGTTCAGATTTAGAACCGTGACTACGAAATCGAGTCCGAGCTGTAGCGAGGTCCCCCCGCGGGCTTGTTACAGGAGTGTACCTGACACCACTGATGCGGTATTCTGCACATCACCAGGCACAAGTGCAAATACTCGACCCTGCCTTAAGGTTTCTCTCCCAATGTTAACCCCTGTATTCATTTTTGGGGCAGAAGCAGATCCAGCTGAACTTGCTGCTGAATGGTTGGCATTTCCAGACCCAACAGGACAATCTTTCATCATGTGGCCAGTTTTACCACACTTGAAACAGGCACCCATCGCTCGGTAACAGATGCCCTTATGTTTCCTCCCACATTTTGAGCAAGTCGGTGTAGATCCACCACTCTGGCTTGAGCTACTAGAAGATCTTGTGTTTTGCTTCTTTGCAAATGATCGACCCTTCTTGAAATTAAATCCGGACCTCTTGCCCCTCCTTTTGGTTGTTGGAGCTTTAGTTTGTTTCATTGTAGCTAAACTAGTTTCAGCCATTAAAGCTTTGTCAAGGACATCACATATTTGAGTAGTTTTAATACAGCAACCCGATCAAATATATCTAGGTTCAAGCCTCCTTTAAACTTTCAAGCCGTCTTGTAATCAGTATCCACCACGTGTGGAGAAAACTGGGCCAATTCAGTAAACTTGGCTTCATACTCTGCTATTAACATATTGCCTTCCTTAAGTTCTTGAAACTCAGACACCTTTCTATCTCAGAAACATTGAAGGAAGTATTTTTCATAGAATATTTCTCTGGATTGATCCCAAGTCAAAGTCCCACTTCTATCTCAGATGAGCATCCACCATCGTCGGGCTTCATCATTCAAAGTGTAGGTAGCCAACAAAACCTTTTAAGTTTCGGTACATAGGAAGACTTCAAATAGTTTTTCCGTTTCTAACATCCACGTTTCAACCTTCAGACGGTCAATTCCATCCAAGAAAGTCAATGGTTTCATCTTATTGAACTTCTGTCAGTGTTTACCTGTTCTACTTGGGCCAGAGAGGGCAGAGGTTGTTGTCTTTATTACTGTCTTAATGTTTCTGTTAGGGCTTCGAGCATTTGTTCCATTCGGCACATGCAAGCCTCAAAAGATTCAGTCGTACCATCACTTCTTGTATTTTCCATTTGCTATAGGTAAACAAAGCACAAATAAACATAGGCAACTAATTCTTTCGATCTCATATGTTCATGTTCAGATTCAGCTTCCACATTTACAGGAATTAACACACACTCACACATGCAGATAAAATGTCTCTAATTCTTTTTTGGACATCCTATAGCTCATATGGAGTCGTGTGTACGGTATAACTCGCGCTCTGATACCACTCTATCACGACCCAAACCCGGCTAGTAATCCTGGGATTACCAAAGGCCTCTAAACAAATTAAACCAAATATAGAGGCTAGTGGAAGCAAATACAAGCATATAACGTCCATAGAGCTGTGTAAACATACATGGGACAAAAAATTTAAAATTTATATTTACATAAGTAAGACGTCTTAGCTACGATATCATCCATACATACAAACAACAAAAGTCCAGATTAAGCTTAACAAAAAGGTCTTAAACATTGTTCACAAAAACTTGACCACTTCTCAAAAGGGAACCTCCTCGGGAGGCACAGTGGCTGACAGACAGACAGAACTCCAGGCAACAGCTTAGGCCTGGTCATGCGCCTGATCACCAACATAAATAAATAATACAGTGAGTTGGAGCCCGGTGAATAATAACAAAGTAAAGGTTTTAATGAATGATCCCTATAACAGATTCATATTCATAAATAGATACATATTCATATTCATGTTAACAGTGCATATAATTCACATGATCATACATGGTACATCCATTAACATTAACAAATCCGATGACCCGTGAGGGACGGCCATAAAGGTATTCTGATGACTCATGTGCACAGAAATCTTTCTGATGACCCATAAAGGGACGACCATAAAGGCATTTCGATGACCCCTACAGGGACCTGATGACCTATAAAGGGCCGCTAAATATCACATGTTGCTATGGATGCCATGAGTACATTTCGAAAACTTGGACAATCATTCATTCATACAAAACACAGCATTTCAGAAAACTAATCATTTCATATCATCAGAAAATAATTAAAGTTAAACATAACTTTAATGAGTTATTATTCACAGTTGGTTCCAGAAGCAGACAGATTAAATAGCTTACGGCGCGTAACCTATACAACATAACAGATACATATATTGGAACACACACTCGGATAGTACTTAACTTATTTCATCTTGTTCTTAGTGTGTTTCTAAGTCTTATCCTTAATATTGTGTCTTAATTAAGGCTTAAGAATGTCCAGGATGAAATGAGGATGCCAAAATGTAATTCAAAACACATGGTCAAATTTACTGAAAATAAGGGTGGTTTCTCGAGCGCAACTTCTTTCACTCGAGCGGTCTACAAACTCTGTAATAATACTAGTTGTATGATTTTTCCGCTCGACGATCGCTCAAACGTAAGACTGGGGTCTCCGCTCAAGCATAACTCTGATTGCTCGAGCTCTGAAAAATTTGTAAACTTCTAGGAGCATGAATTTTATGCTCGAGCCAAATTTTGGTCGCTCAAGCGAGAGTGCAAAACAAAGAGTGGTCGCTCGAGCACAGGTTCTGTCGTTCGAGCGGAGAAGCAGAATTCTGAAATTTCCAAATTTGTTTCCAAGCTTCAAAACTCAACTCAAAACTGCAATTCATGTTCTTTTGAGCTGAAAACTTAATGAAACTTGTGTAAATTTATAAAACATTGTGAATTCAAGATCTTTTTGCAAAATCAAGGCCCCAAAACTTGGCAATTATACAAAACAAAACTCAAATCTTTGAAAACATAACATGCATGTAAGTTCTTGACTTCAAAACTTTCAAAACATGAGCTATTAAGGTAATTTGGTATGAAACTTCATGAATTCACAAACAAAGGCAAGATGAACACATGCATGTGGGAATTCTTTGAAATTAAACTCAAAACTTCATGAATTATCCATGCATGTATACAATTCAACTCTATCCTTCCAATTCATGGCATTTCTAGCTTCATTTCTTCAAAGAGATGCAAATGAGCTCAAAAATGAGATGAATCCAACTTCCACATGCCACATCTACAAGAATTAGAGATGAATGTTTTACCTAGTGTTGAATTCAAGTGTTGTCTTAGCTTGATTCTCCAAATATCTAACAATTCCCCTCAAATTCCTCTTCCTCTCACTAGAATTGTTGAATTCCCTCTTACTCTCTCTCTCTATTCTCAACCAAATGTGTTGTCTAAATAAGTTCAAGACATGAATTAGGCTTATATAGGGTATAATTTGCTTAGCTTAAGTAAGTCTATTAATCTTACTAAATTTGAATTGATTCAAATTATTTATTCTACTTATTCGACTCCGAATCGAATTTCAATTGAACCCACCATAAATTTCTATAAATGCTAAATAACACATAAACCAAGTCAATTTCATGATTGAATACCCACAAGCCCTTCAATTCGCAAAACAAATCAAAAAAACAAACAGATATTTCTACGACAGATAGATATAAACACAAATAATGCAATGCACATGTAATTAATTAAGGATTTCATCTTAATTACTCGTTAGGCATTTTTAATTATGGTTTAGCAGTTAAACATAGGTCGAGGTTGTTACAAGAATTTTGACCCACAATTAACATATCATCAACATAAAGAAAAAGAATAATGAATTTGATATCCGAAATTTTTTTCATAAACACACAATGGTTCGAAGTGGTTTTAGAAAAACCATTATTCATTATGAAAGAGTCAAATTTTTTGTACCATTGCTGCGGGGCTTGCTTGAGGCCATAAAAACTTTTCTTCAATTTGCAAACAAATTTCTCTTTTTATTTTTCCACAAAACCCTCCTGTTGCATGTAAATTTCTTTTTCAAGATCACCATGAAGAAATGCAGTCTTCACATCAAGTTGCTCAACTTCAAGGTTCATACTTGCAGCCATACCAAGTACAACCTGAATAGAAGACATCTTCACAACCGGCAAGAAAATTTTATCAAAGTCAACACCTTTCTTTTGCCCAAAGCCTTTCACAACAAGAAGTGCCTTTTACCTTAAATTATTGCCATCATTCTTCAACTTGAAAACCCACTTATTTTTCAGAATTTTCCTCCCCTTAGGCAACTTCACCGAATCATAAGTGTGGTTTTCAAGTAAAGAATTCATTTCCTCTTCCATGGCCTTTTTCCAATCACCTTTCTTTGCATGCTCAATTGCTTCTTGTTAGCTTTCGGGCTCCCCTTGATTGGATATAAACACAAACTCATTGGGAGGATATTTTTTAGAAGGTTTCCGGTCCCTTGTAGATTTTCTTAACTTAAGTTGTAGATTTTCTTAGAATTAACAGAATCATCCACATCTTCAATAAGTGGCTGCACATCTCCCCCATTTTCATCATCTACCGAAGACGAAAGAGATGGATCAATGTCAATGAAATCACTAGTTTTTGGCTCCGGTTGATCACCTTTGCCAAAGTCTTCAATTGTTTGGTCTTCAAGAAACACAACCTCACGACTTCAAATAAATTTCTTGTCGAACGGATCCCACAATCTATAACCAAATTCATCACATCCATAGCCAAGAAAAATGCATTGTCTTAACTTGCTATCAAGCTTGGACCTCTCATCCTTTGGAATGTGAACAAAGACTCGGCAACCAAACACTCTCAAGTGCTCATAAGATACATCTTTGTCGGTCCCAACTTTTTCTAGAACATCACTATTCAAAGAATAGGAAGGAGACAAATTGATCACATCAACCGCTGTCCTTATTGCCTTACCCTAAAAGAATCTTGGCAATTTAGCATGTGAAAGCAGACCCCTTTTTCTTTCTACAATGGTGCAGTTCATCCTCTCAGCAACGCCATTTTGTTGAGGAGTCTTCTTAATTATCTTTTAATGCCAAATGCCTTGGTTGCGATAATACTCATCAAATGGCCTAATGTATTCACCACCATTGTTTATTCGGATGCACTTCATTTTCAGTCCTGTTTCTTTTTCAACCATGGCCTGAAAATGCTTAAATACATCTAGAACTCGATCTTTAATTTTTAGTGCAAAAACCCAAACTTTCCTTGAATAATCATCAATGAAAGTAACAAAATAAAGTGCACCACTATGTGTTCTAACTTTCAAAGGATCACAAACATCCGAATGAATCAACTCCAAAACATTTTCTTTTCTAGAAGCAGCATTTTTATAGAAAGAAACTCTATGTTGTTTACCCGCCAAGCAATGAACACAAGTTTTGAGATGCGCACCTTTCAAACTGGTTAGATGCTCTTTCTTGAACAAAACTTGCAACCCTTTTTCATTCATGTGCCCAAGCCGCTTGTGCCACAATTTGGTAGAAATATCATCCTCAAGTGTATTGACAACACCTTTACAAATTTTTCCTTACATCGAATAAAATATGTGATTCTTCTTACACTTGGCCACCACCAAAGAACTCTTTGTGAGCTTTTATTTTCCATCACCAAATTTGTTGTGGTAGCCTTCATCATCTAACTTCCCAGTAGAGATCAAATTGAAGCGAATGTTGAGAACATGTCTTACATCTTTAAGCAACAATTTGCAGTCCAAATTTATTTCCAAGAAAACATCACCCATACCGACAATCTTGGACAAACATTTATTACCCATTCAAACACAACCATA